AGTTAGTTAAAGAATTAGCTTTAGCATCTCATATTATATGTATAGCTTACAAATGTTTAATAAAGCATACATAACTAACCTGACAGAGGGCAAAAAAAAAAAAATAATAATAATTTATTCAATTACTTTTGAACACTGAGTTATTTAATATTAGTTTATTAATTAGAAATATTTTAGTTATAAATTTTTTGTATTTGTTTTATACAAATCTTTAGAGATTAAATAAAAAAATAGATTTGAAATATTTTTATTTTATTATTTGTTTTCAATAAATAAAAGATAAAACTTTTTAATAAATGACAATAAATTATTGATAAAGTTCTTTTTGTATTAGTTTTTGTTATTTATTTCTTTTAAATATATTGTTTGAACTAAATGAAAACTTAACTTTAATAGAAAAAAATATTTTATAAAATTATTAAATTTTAATAAAGTTATTGATAAATAAATTTTATTTACAGTATTTATTATAAAAAAGTATATAGTAAATTGAGGCGACATTTATTATGTCAATGTCCTATTTCCATATCTGCGAAACAAATATGCATAAAACTTATTCAGAACCAATCATGAAGGCAACCAGTATATTATAGGCAGTCAAACGATGAATATTTGAAAATTTCCTGTTTTTCCATTCGCATCGAAAGTAAAGAATCGACAGCATGCTCCCAGCAAGACAGAACAAGGTTGACCTAGACGTAAGTCAACTTACCAACAGTAAACAATACAAGTGAAAGTCATAACAACTAAGTAATTTCGACGCATCGTGGGAAAAAGTAGTAAAATGACATCTACAGAAGATTAAATCTATCTGTTATTTGTAGAAACTAACAGAAGAGGAGAGAAAGCTTTTCCGCTTGTACGGCAGATTGCCAACAGGGAAAGACATTTTAAGTCACAAATTAAAGGTATTCAACCACAAGATCTATAAGACAAGTTTTGAAATCCAGCAACATAACAATTCGAGTAGAATTATTGGATGTATATTGAAATTAACAATAATTCAAATTGTAAATTTGTGTAGGAACGTAAGTATTTTGATTCGGGCGACTACGCTCTTTCAAAAGCTGGAAAGACGTCTAGCCCTGTTGGTGTTCAACATCCCTCTCCAGAAACTATCCCTCATGCGAATGCTATTGCGGCTACTACACATAATTCATCACCTGTGAAGGAAAGTTCCCTGGTTCATGAGGCAGAAATTGAAGAGAAAGCTGGTGATCAGAATACGGAAAATAACCAAAGGTCTATAAAATTCACTCCTTTTCTATATTCTGATTAACATATTTCTAAAAGAAAAATAAAATTCGTTAATATCACTTTCTTAGTAGCGATGATAAGGACAGCGAAAATTTATCAGCCGAACAAATCGTGGCACCAACGCAAGGTGAAAATACTCAAGGTCAATTGACCGACATTACTGCTACAACTACCGATAACAGTTCGTGATGTGAAGGCGATTATCTTTGAAATAGGTTTTGGGGATATCCACTGTTTTCATACCTGGCCTTCAAATTTTATTTTGCTATTTATGTTTTCTTATGTAATTACTTCAAATTTCAAATTCTCTACGAGATCTGGAAATTAGGAAATTTATTATCATTGATGATAACTTAAAAACGAAAAGGCATTCGAATAGTATTACTCTTGTAACTTTTCTGATCTCTAGATCTCCGTGACAAAAAAATTGTGAAAAACTGACATACGGTATATTTATTATATATACATATCTTTCTTTTATAGTACAGAATTGTTTTATACGTTTTTTTTTTTTTTTTTTTTTCCTAAAAAAATTTTCCCTTTTTTTGCCGATGACCGAAGACCTATTAACAAGCTTTGACAGAATTAAATAAACGTTTCGTTATAAAAAAGAAAGAAATTGTGTACATGCGAAGTGCCTACAACTTGTACTGTGTTCTTTTAGACATAATATATACCGCAGCAGAATTTTAAAGTTTGCACATGATTACGTACGTTGTGCATATTATTAATTGAATAGATTGTGTAATCCGCTTGTTGTGTTATCACTAGAAAGCTTTAATAATAGTCATCTATCTTCCAGAAACGAACCGTCAAGATTAAAAAATGGCAGCCGCTAGTCCCTCGGAGTTCAGTAACCCTTTGAGGAAGTTCAAGCTGGTATTTTTGGGTGAACAAAGTGGTATGCTAAATTTCTACACCTCAATCTATACATCAGTCGGTAGCTCGAAAAATGATGTAAAAAAAAAAAAAAAAAAGCGCAACGAGTCATCGCAATTACTTCCTTCGTTATTGAAATTTGATATTTTGCTTGGGTAATTCTCAGAAGTTTCTTGTATTTCCTTTTGTTTAGTTGGGAAAACGTCGTTGATCACACGTTTTATGTATGATACCTTTGATAACACGTATCAGGTACAAGTATATAGATGATCTTGGTAAATTCCAGTTATTAGAAAGGTTTTTTATTCAATTTTTTGCTGATGTTCTTAAGACCCTTTCACTTAGGCCACTATTGGTATTGACTTTTTATCGAAGACCATGTATTTAGAAGACCGAACAGTACGATTACAACTATGGGATACTGCTGGACAGGTAAGAGATACCATTGCTCATTTGGGGAGTATAGTAAACTTTTCAAATCCGATTTTTTTCTTATGATGAATAGGAAAGATTTAGAAGCTTGATCCCGAGTTATATTCGAGACTCTTCGGTGGCCGTTGTGGTATACGACATCACAAGTAAAATATTACATTATTGTCATTATTTGACCTTCATTTTTTCTATTCTTATTTTATTCATTCCGTTCCTTAATTAGACAGAAACTCATTTATGAATACAGCAAAATGGATTGATGATGTTCGTGCGGAACGAGGGAATGACGTTATTATTGTGCTGGTTGGAAACAAAACTGATCTAAATGACAAAAGGTAGTATCTTCGTGTTAGTATTTTTACATATTTGGCGGGTTAATGAGTTGAGTTTCCTTTTTAATACTTAGACAGGTAACGACGGAAGAAGGCGAAAAGAAAGCGAAGGAATTTAACGTTATGTTTATCGAAACTAGCGCAAAGGCTGGATATAATGTGAAAACTCTCTTTCGTAAGATTGCACAAGCCCTACCTGGAATGGAAAATACAATGAACGAACCCCAAAACCAATGTAAGCCTAAGTCATTCGTCAATGAAATTTATCTCTTCATTGGTTTATATATTTATATAATCTGCTAATTATGTAGTAATTGATGTAAATATCAATTCTGGTGCCCAAAACTCCAATGAGCAAACATCATGCTCTTGCTAATTAATTTTTGGTCTTTCCTGTTGCTCTCTTTGTCATTTTTAACGGACTTTGATTCTGTATCCACGAATTTCTAATGATTTATTAGTGTGACTCCTACTTTATAAATTAAAAAAGTTGTATTATATATTCTTTTTTTAATAAGATTAGATCTTATTTTAGAATGAGTGAAATTTTCCTCCACATTTGTACATTCCGTATAGATAAATCTATCGGGTTTTCATAAAAAAAAAAACGCAAGAATTACTGTATAAGTTAATATTTAAACCATTAGTATAGATTTACAATCTTTATTGGAAATTATCAAGGTTCGCCTATGGTTCGTAACATTATCAAATCCAGCGTCTTCAGGAATTTCATAACTTTCGTACAACCCAAGCCAATTTCACGCAATCTAAACAAGTCGCACGACCAAGCCAATTTTACGCAACTCAGACTTGTACTTATAATTAGGATGCTTATTAGCATGCTCTTCTTGCTATTCGTTGAAAATTCTATTAGCGAATTCGGCGTAACTATTCCATGATGTAACGTTCTCATTTTTCTTGAGAATTCAGTGAAAATATCATTCAATTTAAATAGCTGAAAACAATATTGACCTATGGTGGTAACTTGGAAGACAACATACTTTCTTTCACCTCTAATTATAACTAAATAGTTTAGGGTTGATAGATAAGGTGATGCAAATTGATACATAAAATTTGAAGGCACATAATTTCACAAAAATTTATTCAATCGAGATGATTCTTGAGTTATTCGATATGTCAAAACTTGAGCTTTCGAATGAATATAGGGCTATTATAGTAAAAGTTTTTTTATGTGATTAACTTAGAATGTACAAGAATAACCTTACAAATATTGGTTCAATAGAAATGATCTTTGAGATTAGATTGATTTGATATCTTTTCTATAATCAGCTTATGTTATTTTCATGAATATATGATCAAATAAAATAATAGAATTACCATTTAAAGTTTTGAAATTTCAATTTTTTTTTTTATATACTGTAGATATATTAATAAAAAGATTTGTTTTTTTTTATAAATATAGTGTGAGACACTTATTTTTGGAAAAAATTGTTTACTTTTATTTATAAATAAAATTTATCAATTAAACTTTATATATAATATATTTTTTTATTAATATAATGAATAAGTTAAGTTTATTTAAATAATTAATTTAAAAAGATCATAAAAATTAAATAATTAAATAATAAAAAAAAATTATTTTTTTTAAATCCTCTGTTAAGCTAAATATGTATACTTTATTAAACATATGTATACTTTACATTGAAAAATGTATCACCAAAGCTAAGTCTCTACCTAACTCCCTCATCTCTATTTTAAGAATTATTAAAACTCTAAATACAACTTCGGAAGTGATTTATTGCTTCATTAGCAGTTCAGA